GATTTGGCACCTGGGTCCAAGTTTGCTTGTGTCCTTTGACCCTCAGGGGTAGAAGCCCAAGTTGGGGCCCATGTCTCTTCAGAATGCGAGAACAGTCTCAGTCGCCGCAGGCAACGACGAAGCTGGTGCGCATCCGCAATGGCAAAGAGCAAAGTGCGGCAGTCTCTTGGCAAGACGTTGAGCCATTCACGAATCATGAGCATGTTTGGCAGCATGGCTTCACGAGAAAAAGTGCGTTTCCAGGCAGGCCTTTAGCCAAAGCACCGTCAGAATTCCAGGTTCGTGGTTTCGGCGCAGACCTCTTATCTTATGACTTGTGGGCCTTTGGACTCTGAACTGTCAGACCATGGTACAGCGTTCCTTCACTGCTTCGACCGATGCTTTTTAGACGGAAAGGGAAGTCACTGTGGCATAGAAGACAGGACTTCTCAACTCAACTGGTCGACCTGGAGTTTAGGGTTCGTCAAACATCATTGTAGAAGCTTGAATGATTACCCATGACTCCTTTAGAACCACCATATATCACCATATAATCATATTTTCAACTACCCACAATTCCCATTCTAATTGTCCAGGTTCTGCCAGGCCGTGTTATCATATATTTGTGACTTGTATGCTGCTAGTGCAAGCCAACACGCTGTAGAGTCACTACTGTTCCTGTCCTGTCATGGCTTTTGCAGGGTCACGTTTAAGAGTTCGCTTCGCGCTCCGATCAGAGGACGTGGCCGGCAATGCTGCAGTGCGCAAGCTGCTTCAGAGCTACGATGGCGGTGACAAGGCGGGATGGCAGGATGGGTCCTCAAGGCATTTTTGGCCAGCTTGGTGTCAGGGCCTGAAATGGCAGGAAAACTATGGTGTTGAAATCTGCGTGCAAGCTACAGTGTGAACATTCTTCCCCCAGCGGCCAAACTGGCTAACCTGAACACTACCCCCTAAATCCCCCTTAAACAAAGCTCAACACCACCAAACGCATGACGCCTTAGCGTCACAACTCGTATCCCGCAGCCTCCAAGCCCTGGACCCATGAACCCTGAATTGCAAACCTCCCCCGAACCCTGAAGAGCTTAAGCCCTGAATCCTGAACGAACAAATTCGATTAAGAGCATTCTTTCCTTGTCTTCAATCTGCAACAGAGTCTACATAGTAAGGTCCCTACAACAAACACCGGAGACTCGAGATTTATGGGTTCACCCAGCCACCCCTTTATGCTAACCCCCTCCCCCGGGTTCTCAACTAGCCGTAACCAAAGCTCAATCCTCGGGCGGGGGAGTGTAGACGGGGACAGTTAGCGAGCCCACAAGCGACCCTGAAGCTTCCGTCCCGAAGGCCGCTTTGCCTCCTTTATACGTGCGCAGCATCTCGACAGTTACCAGCTGAAGGGGTATAATCCCCCTCAAGTAGATAGAATATATGGGACATATGGGGATCTTATGATGGTTATGATCAAATCCACATTCTACTACTTAAGGGAGACTATACTTGAAGGCTGAAGAGACTTAGCAACTTATTGTAAATGGGCATTGAGTCCCCCAATTGGGGTTAGTTTGCATATAACCCTGTTTGTAGCCTACTTACTGAGTCCCCGCCTCTAAGTATCGAGTTGGTGTATATGGTCAAGTGATTTGAATTTCACAGTGCACGGGGGGATTGGGCGGGATTCTGGGCTTGTGGGGATTGTTTCGAGCTTGTAGACGCATGCCCCAGAGATTGTTCGTAATTCAGAAGCTCTTCTGCAATCTCTCGTAGTCCTCTTGATGCATATCAATACAGTCTGGATATCCCCAACATGTATGACAGTATGACAGTTTCAAGTTTGCTCATACATTCGAGCATGGGTGCCCGGCGCGGACCCCAGACCCCAGCAGCAAGCAATTTGGCAAGCACTGAGGCGTCAGCGACGGCTTTACGACCTCTGGACAGGGCATAGGGAAGGGCGTCAGTTGCTGAGCTCCCAGGGATGCCATTCCCAAATGTTACTAATGCTCTTGGGTATAGAAAGCTCTTAGGACAAGCAGAGGAGAAAGTCTGATGTGATGTGGCCGTCCAGGGTTGTAAGTTAAGTGTTGGGGTCACAGGTCTTTGTCGGCTCGCATGAAAGCGGCTGCGTCCAGACAGAGGAACTTTTAAGATAGCCGAGGCCCTAAAACCCTTTGAAGCAAACCCGAGTCCTACACCCTGACAACCAAAACACTGAACCTTAAGCCCTGGCAAACCAAACCCTAAACCCGAAAGGCCATAAAGTCCAAACGCTGAACCCTAAACTTACTGGGGTTAGTAGGGAATAAGGGCCTATAACCCCTATATAATCCCTATAGAATATTTTCCTTTCTCCCCTACTAACCATCAGCAAGAAAAGCCGCAGGAAGTGAAGCGGAAGAGGATGAGGGCCAGAGTGAAGTGAATGCGGTTGTGGCTTGGTACAAGGGACTCTGGGAGATGGATGCCCAGACCCCCAAATGGATGGAGAAATTAGATCCCCTAGAACTATAGGGGAAATTATATAAGGATTCTATAGGGGCTAGAATGGGTCTATATAGGGGATCTATTTTTTAGGTCCTCCCAGGGCTCTGGGTAGGGTTTGGGCTCAGGGCTTAAGGGTTTATGGTGTAGGCTTTTGGGTGCAATTAGGCATTAGGGGTCTAGCCAAAAGGGGAGTCAATGGGAGGCTAGCGTTGAATGGCTTTGTGTCTTGGGTGTAGTAGCTGAGCAGACTGAGTAGGCAGCCTCCTTTGCACCTCTGGGGGTCATGTAATCCGAGTAAAATTCAGAAGTCCACCTTGTGGGACAGGGAACTCAGAAGGAAGGTTGGGCTGGGGCTGGGGGGTGTGCGGCGAGGAAAAAGTTCAGAGAAGCCTAAGCCTCGCATGCGCCGCACACCGAGCCCCCGAACCCTGTTGTTTTTGGGCTCTTGAGTCGGGACCCTGTTATGGTTCTATGTTCCTTGCATACTTTAGGGTACAAGGTGCCATTTAGGATTCTACAGTAGGTGCTTCATAGTTTTACCGGCATCTTAGGGGGAGGGGTGGGGCGGGGGGCAGGACAAGGTGGCCATTCGGACAACAAGGTTGGCATGATGAGCCTTTAACCTCGCCGAAACAAACATGGAAGCTGATTTTAGAGGCACAGTAGTCTTCGCAAGCCTATTTTCGGGCTTCTATGAAAGCTTGGGTCAGGGTAGATGAGCCCTTCAGCTGGTCTATGGAAGATTTGGTGAGCTTGGAAGGCCCTGGACTGGCGTTCTGATTACGGAAATGGTCCCAGGAGGGATGCCCACTTCATCTAGTCAGTGCTTCAAATCCCAACAGAAATTATGGTTCATTTTCATTTAGAGTGCGATACAACCTTGTTGCAGTCAAACAAGAATATCATCTTACCGCAGTACTCGCTTTCTTCTTGACGTGAAGGAAGTACTTGAGGCTTGGAGGCTCTCTTGACTTAGTAAGCCTAATCAACAACAAGAATTATGAGCCTACGTAAAAAGTTATTGGGGAGAGTATGTAGACTTACAAAGTCATAAAAACTTTCCGTGGAAAATTGTAGGTCCCCACCCTTAAGCCCTAGATATCCCCATATACTCCTATATAGCCCTTATTTGGGAGAGCCGCCAGACTGACTAGAGCAAAAGCGCCTCAAAGTATACTATCGAGCCCAACCAGGCAAGCAGCGCGGAGAGAGCAAGCCCTCCGCAGCAGCCCGGATGAAACTGAGATTGGACTTCTTCTCATTAAGGACCGAAAGTCAAGATACCATTGTGAGGAACGCTACTATTCACTATATACCCATGTTATTGCAACTTAGCCTATTTTCCTTGACAGCAACCCAGCCCAGCTTGTTCTGGTAACTCGAAGGCCTTTCTGACTTAGTAACTCCACCTACGTACTTTCGCCATGAACGCCCATCATAAGCCTCACAACCCGTGTTACAAAGGTACGCTTTCTATCTTAAAAGAGAGCTTCCGGTACTGGTTTCTGGGCCATTGAGATGATGAGGTTGCCTTATCCTGAATGCCCACACTGATCTATCTTCATGCGAAAATACAGGGAGCTCGAACCCCGGCAGGAAGTACCGCGGTCCTTCTACGGGGAGTACATGGGGAGTAGATCTGACAGGATTTCTCGAGCTTCGACTGCAAATGACCTGCGGCCCCGAGTGTTTGTACTGAGTGACTTAAGTGGTAGCGCCCGCATGCACTTCGGAGTAGAATCAGAATTCTGGCGTTGGCTCCTGGAATCTGGTACACATGAGAACACACATGATCAAACATGATTGTGGTGTTTCCAAGCATCTCCTCTGCGTCTTGATCAACATTTGCTCTGCAGCCATTTCTGTGCAAGGATGATAGCTGGCTTCAGCTGAGTAGAGAGCACGGCTTGTGGCCTTTGTAGTTGGATTGCTCCAGTCCATGGCTGCGAAATGCAGGACACGCTTCTTTGGCTGTTGTTTGTGCTCCTGGGTGTTTCTGCTGGGAGTTGTGTTGCCAGCGTCCACTCCGCCTCTCTGGTGGCGAAAGGGGCGGGCAAGGAAGATTTTGGGGAGCAGGGCTGAGGCGGAGCTCTTATCTCAGCTGGCCGTGCTGCTCATGCCAGACGAGCCGATTGCTGAGGGGTTCCGCAATTTCCCATGCAAACGCTGCAAGGATGACTGGGGATGCGATCAAAATGACGTAGGTGAGGTAAGGAAACCGTGTAGATTTGATTGTGGCCCCAAATCAGAGTTTGGAAAAAGGACCCAGAGCCCTGCCTAGAAATTCCACTTGCGGTGCCCCAAACCCTAAACTCCGTGGAGCCGCCTGGCAGGACTGGGGCTCAAGCACTTTGAGCCCAGATCCTTGCTGGCTGTTAGTAATCAATGAGAGAAGTTTCCGGTTTAGGGTATAGAGTTTCGGGTGTACGGCTTGGGTGAAGGAATGGAAAAGTAGATTGATATTCCTGTGTTGTTGGGGGTTCTGAAGGGGCCATTATGGAGATCCCTTCCGCCCTTCCCTACTAACGACCAGTAAGGATTTGGCTGCTCATGGCGTGCTGAGAAAAGGCAACGCTGCCCTTTTCGTTGAGTATGACGGGCGTCTTTATTTGTCCAGCAGAGGTTGTTGAGGTGTGTTTTGTAATGGTACAAGAGGCCAGTAATCAGGTGGGTTTTGCAAGCCTAGTATATAAACTTTTGTCAAGGGCGTGCTTTCGGCGCGGGGCAAGATGTTTTTCTGGGCTGAAAGTGGCAATCTACAGATTTTCCTCTTTTCTTGGTTTCCAAAGGGACCATACCTCGTAAGGCTTCGTTGATGAATGCTACAACCCAGTACATGAGCTTCAGTCTAAACTCGAAATATACCCCTTAATAAGCTCTATAGCACTCCCCTATATAAAGCCCTTTAAGGAGTTTAGATTCTAGCTCACATGGAGCCAGACCATTCAGGTATTATCGTCACCTGGAGCCGGCTGGCCTGGTTGGGGACATGCGTAAGACGGAAGCCCTTCTCCGATTTGCACCTGCAGGATCTGTAGTGGTTCCTGGAGTCTTTCTTAGGCTGATTGTTTTTTGTCTAGTCTGAACCTATGTGAGATCACCAGCAGATTGGTGGGGCGTTAATGGTAAGGTTTTGTGGCCAGGTGTACAATAAATTCGCAAACTTTGATGAAATCTTTTGGGCTGTCAATGGCAATAGGTCCTTTAAGGAAAGACGGCTGTAACTATAGTACCTTATTAAACCTTTTCGGTGTTATGCATTTGTTGATTGTAAGTCGGCACGTTCAAATACTTTTTCCTGGCTTCATCGGGGGCAGGGAACAACTTATGGGGGAGGTCCAGAATTCACAAATTATGAGAAGCTGCGAAGGAAAAAAATCTGAACAGTTCCTGTGTGCACTACAGGTTCGCATTGCGCATGAGCAGCGCGACTGGGAGGAAAAGTCTGTAGATGTGGTGGTGGACTGCTGGCCGACTGGGCATGGGCCCTCCGTGCTCAAGGCCTTAAAGCAGGTAGTTGCCTCATTGCTGCAGAAGTGTTGCGGACAGCTACATCCCAGGCTGGCTTCACGCCTCGAGAACATGTCTACAGAATGGGTCAGCAAGAGTGCGAGGAACTTTGCTAGGGATGCAGAAATTGCCGGTGATTTTGATACCCGTGCAGGCTGTAGCAGGAGGTTATGCCTGCAAGAGCTATTCGAAAACAGCATGAAATTCACGGCATCACAAACAAACACAGTAATCGCAATGCATCCGGCGGTCCTTGGCTATAGCATCGAGGCAAATCTGAAGCCT